TGTGTCTTTAGAGATGCCAGGAACTTGAATTTGGAAATCTATCCACCTACACATGGTCTGACACTCAAGTGAGAGGTGAAGGCTGTAGACAAAACCTCCAGGAGAATTGTGAAACGAGCAACGCTAAACCCAAGGCAAAGGAGCTCCAAGGAGGGGAATAGTCAACAGCACCAAATACAACAGAGTGTGAGAAAGATGGTTGAGATGTGCCCAAAGAAATTGCCAGAATGATGCCGGTGGAACACCCAGGGGGAATGGCGAATTGCTAGTGCTTTGAGGTATATGTGGGAGGTGAGAAAATGGGGTGTTGTAGACTATTCTTAAGTGTGCTGAAAAAGGAAGGAGGGAGGAAAAGAGATGGAGGGAATGGAGAGTGGAGGTCCCCCCACCTTTTTTTTTTTTTTAATGTTGAAAGTGTCCATTGAAACAGCAAGTTTAAAAATATGGGAAGGGACAATGATTGTGAAGCCAAGGCCCCAGAGAAGATGAGAGTGAGTAGAATGAAAGGCCCTGATGAAGCAGTGGAACCTTGGACAAAAAGACAATCTCATCCTCTGAGACTGGAGGCATGAATATGGAAGTTTGCAAGGTGAGAGGGGGAGATTTGAGAGACCACCTTATTAAAATTTGTTTTTTTTATATATTGAATTTTTCAGAAATAACAGTTCCGTTTTGTCTTAAAAGTCTACGAGAAGAGAAATGCAGTGTTGATGGTTGGTATCTGTGTCAGGAAGCCCTCTTATAGTTCAGCAGACTAAAGTTAATGTCTTCAGCTCTCCAGACTGACCAGCTGTCAGGCCCTGGGCATGCCCTTTAACCTCTTTGGACCTCAGAGTTTTCACCTCAAAGCAGTGCACTAGGTGCCTTCTGCTTTGTGTTACTGTAACTAACCCATCTAAATCACATTTCCCAATGCCTATGCTGTAGGCATTCAATTTGGCTCACTAATTTAACTACTTTTAAGTATGTTTCATTGACATCTTTAAATGACTCTGTAGCATCAGTATATATAATATGCCATGTATGCATTTTGTAAGGTATACTAATTTCAGTAAACATGAATCTCACCTCTGCTGTGTGACTAGGCAAATTACTTAACCTGTCTGAACCTTTCGTGTCTCCTATGTAAAATGTGAAAGGACTAATACATTATTTAATCTTCACAACAGATCTATTATGTATGTAAGACACTTACCCATGTTGCTAGAAGTACTTCAAGTCTTCAATAAATGGCAGGTCCAGAATCCTGTATTCAACATCGTTGTGGCCATATGTGTTCACTATAAAATTCTCAGATTTTAGAAAGCTATTCTGGGTTATAGGTAAGATAACTTGTATGCTATCTCACAGCAAGGTCTGGGGCTGCATTCGTAGTTAATCATTAGTATTTCTGCAGGAAACACGATAAGCAACGATAATCAGCCTCATGTCAGTTCAGGTTTTGCCTCCAAATGAATCTTGTACCAAACTTAGAACCATTCATTTGATTTCCATAACTCTTTGTGTTTTGGCATTGCCAGTAAGGATTATGGACGTACACTATTTCATCAGCATGTGTTTCTTAAACCATACTTTGTGGCTGGCTCTGTATAGCACTAGGGGTATTACAAAGATTAAGCTCTTTGCTGTTTGGACATATCCAGAACCCGTCACGATGCAGATAGAGTGCAAAGAAGAGCATGGGTAACCCAACAGAAAACTGGGCCAAAGACTTGAATCATGAATCAGCACACCTGAAAGAGCATACTTTGGTAATCACATTCAAATAAGCGCTCAGCCTCGGTAGTAATCGGGAATGCCTGACGATGGCAGGTGTTGGTGAGGACAAGGAGCAATGAGAACTCATTTGCTGCTGGTTTTCTTTAGAGCAAATTAGAGTAAATGTAGTAAATTATACTAAACATAGTAAATTAGAACAACCACTTTGTAAAGCAGTTTGTCTTTACCTAGTCAATTTGAAGATCCACGTACATATATCCCATGATACAGTATCACTGCTCCGTAAAGTTGTGCCCTAGAGAAACTCATGAGCACATGCTTCAGGATATATATACGTGAATGTGACAAACAACAGGGTCCCATGTATAGCACAGGGAACTGTATTCAATACCTAGTAATAACCCATAAATGAAAAAGAATATATACATGTGTGTATAACTGAATCACTGTGCTGTACACCAGAAACTAACACAACATTGTAAATCAACTATACTTCAACTTAAAAAAAAAAAAGAATGGAAGAAACACAAGACTTGCAGAGTTCTATTTCTTGCCTTGCATGGTGATTCCATGGGTCTTCACTTTATAATTATTCATGAATCTATGTTTAATGCACTTATTTGTATTGGTGTTTCACAATCAAAAAGTTTTTTTTAACTTAAGGGCTTTGGAGCCAGATCTATATATATAAACTTTGTGATTTGAGCAAAATGATTAACATCGTTGCAGTTTTGTTTCTGCCCTAACTCCCTGCTGTTACAGCTACTGCTATACTCAAGGGGTTTGAAGCAGAGTCCTCTCTGCTTGGGGAAGATCCCACAGATGGGTGTTACTAGAAAACATAAGATTTAAAATCCAATAACAACTCTATGAAGTAGAGTGGGCAGATAACATCTAAATAAAACAGACTCAAAGGGGGTGATTTCCCCAAATCACACACAATCAGCAAACAGCAGATATCAGAACCCAGGCCTTTTCATTTAAGGTATCACTCATGGGCATTCCTGTTTTAATCAGAAAACTGTAAGAATGGAGTATCTTCCAGACCCTGAGAAAGGAATTATTTATAAAGGTGGGATTTCCCGTGACATGACCAAGGTGACCACAATCATCTTAAATATATGCAGATGTGTATGGAGGGCAGTTTGGTCTCTGGGATTCTTGCTACCCTCACCCCCAAGCCCCCAGCTCTACTGAGATATAATTGACATTGTGTAAGTTTACGGTGTACAGTGTCTTGATTTGATACACTTACATATTACAAAATGATTACCACCACAGCATTAGATAACACCTCCATCCCATCACATAATTACCATTTCATGGGCCTTTTGATAATGGGGAAGTCCTTGTGAGAAATTACATTCAAAACTAATACTAGAAACACAAGGGATATAAAGAAGTAGAAATATAGTGACAAGTTCTGGCTCCAAGTGCTGTGCTCTTTCTAGTATTCCAGAGGTTCCTTATTTACGTTTGTTGAATAATTAAGAACAATGGAAACAATAAATGACAAGTAGATAATCTTCCTCTTAAGAAGAAAACAGTGAAGACATTGTTAGAGTATTCCCCGTTCTGATCACTAGGTGGCACTATTTTCACAGGTAATCAGTCTGTTGCTTTGTATCTTCCCTGTACGCGTAGTGTTTATGAAACTGTCAGTAGCTCAGAAAATTTTCTTTAAATATCAAAGATTTTTTGTTTGGTTTTTACCTTGACTCTCACAGTTTTGAACTCCGTAAAAGAATGAGCATCAGCCTTGAAGTTTTCCAACTATTTATTTCACTAGTCTGAGGACTTGAGTGATAAAAGACCTGATGTTCAAAAGCTGTCCAGCTTCAGCTTCTGTTTTGGGGGGATATTGGACTTCCTGACTAAAAGACACTTGTTTAATTCTACCCTGCCCTTTATAGATGCTTATTTTATTTTGCATAAACATCTGTTAGGATAACAGTAGCCAAATTCAAAACATCAAGATTACTAGATTTTTTTTAAAAAAATTCCTTTGTTTCCTTTTGACACCAAGAGCTATTTCAATAATTTCAACCCAATTCAATTAAAATCTGCTTCAAGCAACTCTCAAGGACTGAAGTGAGAAAGAGAATCAGCTTAGGAAGGACACTGAAGATATTTTGTCTCTTTCCCTTTTTATCTCTTTCTCCTTTCCCCACCATTTTTTCCCCTCACACTTTCATTCTTCCATGTTCTCATAATGTGATGTGCATTTATTCCAAAGTTTTATTATGAAATTTTCGAACTTGGGGAAAAGTCGGAAGAATTCACAGTGTCTACCCCTATACCAACCACCTGGATTCTACAATTATTTTACTATATGCTTGGTTTTTAGTTCAGGTCTATTTATCCTTCCACCAATCAATTCATCTTATTTCTGTGATCCATTTCAAAGTAAGTTGCAGACATCAGTACACAACCTCCCAAATAATTCTGCATGTGATAGGCCTTTCCGTTTATCTACCAACATTAATCTTTTGTGTTTGCAGTATCTTTTCTATGAAAAATACTGTATACTGTTAATGAAGTTTAGTAGAAGTATCTTTCACTTGATGGAGCTTAGGGTCTTAATTTCTTACCTTGGTCCTGCCAAGTATCATAATGCTTCTTGCAATATGAGGACACTCTGTTGGCAGACATCTCTCCTTGAGGCCCATTGAGAATGGTCAAGGATTGGTTGGTCATTCGGTGACCATGTTAGGTTCATCGTCTTTCACTGGACAAAGTCCTTACTAGCCATCCCCACCCTCCACATTCCATGACATGGCTTCTCCCACTTGCTGTGTTTTCTGGGAGAAGCTCTTGCTCCTTCCCACGTGGATTAGGGAACAATGTCAGTTTCCAGAGCAAATTGGGTTGCTATGGGAACCTAAAGTTATTTGGAGTTGCAAAATGGTAGCGAGTAATCAGTGACACAACCTGAAATACTCCATAATTGTCCCTGGAGAACAATAAGGTAAAATGTTTTATTCTTAGATGAGGGAACTTCAGGGACACAGTAATGAGCTGCTGAGTGAGAAAGTCGAGGGTTGGGAGAAGGTGGCTTCAGGTGGCTAGGAGAGACTCGTACTAGTTTTCCTTGGTGTGTGTCCTTTAGGTAAGTCATTTATTCTTTCTGAGCTGCAGTTTTCTCTTCTGGAAAATGGAATGTCAGTCTAGAGCTAACAGGGACCTTGGAGATAATCTGAAGTTGTATGACTCTCTGAAACAGATGATGCCTGCAGATTTGGGGGAAAACCCTACACATGAGAAACCAACAGTCTGTACACACAGTCCTGGACTTTCCTGTGTCTTTCTTGAACGTGGCTCACACATTCACATGTTATACTTTGACAGTACTTAACATTTTAATCTATATGCAGCACTCAGGATAGCCTGTGACTAGTGCCATTATAGTACAGTATAATCATTAACCTGCAGTCAAAAAAAAAAAGTGGTGCTTGTATTTGAGAAGAAATAATGCATTTTTAGAAGGTATTTTTGTTCCAGTATAGTTAAAACAAAAGTGTTTATGAAGTTACAGATAGAGTAGGAGATGAAATCAGAAAGGTAAGAAGAATCAGATCTATAGGACCTTCAAGGCTGCTGCAATGATTTGCTGTTTCTTGAAACTAAGCAACTTCTGCCTCAGGACCTTTACACTGGCTGTTCCTTCCCAGAGAGCTCTTTCCACAGATATCTGCAAAGGTCATTCCCTTACCTCTTTCAAGCCTGTGCTTCTCTACAGTAAGGCCTTTCCTGACCTCCCCTGCCTTTGCACTTCTCATCCCCTCACCCTGCTCTACTCTTTCTACAGCACTTATCACCATTTAACCTATAACATATCATTTACTTATTAATTAGGAATATTGCTTCTTGTCTGTGTCCCTCTGCTAGACTATAAGCTTCATGAAGGCAGGGGTCTTGGTCTTGTTGGCCCACCAAACAGCTACAACGTTTCTAACACGTAGAAGGACCCCCACATATGTATGGAAGAATGCCTTAAGGGGGTAAGTTTTGACCACATGGAAAATTAAAATTTTTTTCTCGATGAGTAAATGGTTATTGAAGATTTAGGATCTTGAAGAACCTCTGAATTATTTCATAGAGGTTCAGTTAGAGATATTTACAAAGCCAAGGAAGTGGACTTATATTTTAGGAATATTTTTTAGCACTGTGCAGTGAAATAAAAGGTTTCTGGCCAACTATTTTTGTTATAATGTATCTTCATATAATTTCAAACTTCAGAAAAGTTGCAAGAATACTACAAGGAACTCCCTATAATCTCTACCCAGATTCACCCACTGTTTACATTTTGCCTCATTTGCTTCATCTTTCCCGCTCTCTGAATGTATGTGTGTGTTTCTGAAACTTGAGAGTAAACTGAAGACATTGTACCCCTATGACCATAATTATTTCATGTGTATCTTTTAAGAGCAGATATTCTCTTGCAGAACCACAGTACACTATTGAAATCAGAAAACTGAACACTGATAGAATACTGTTATTTAATCCACAGCCCATTTTCAAATTTCATCAGTTGTCCCAATAATAATCTTTACCCCTATTTTTTTCCCAATTGTGGATCCAAGCCATTATCACATGTTGCATTTAGTTATTAGTCTGAAATTGTTCTTCAACCTTTTCTTGTGGTTTTTTTGAAGAGGACAACCCAGTTAGTTTGTAGTTTGTTCCTTCGTTTGAGATGATCTTAATGTTTCCTTATGATTGGGTTCAGATCATGTATGCATATTTAGCAGAAATACCCAGAAGTGGTCTCATGTCTTCAGCGCATCCTGTCAGGAGACATATTTGTTGATTTGTCCCAATGTATCAAGGATGTCAGGTCTAATCATTTGGTTAAGATGGTGTCTGCCAGATCTCTCCATTGTAAAGTTACTTTTTTTCCCTTTGAAATTAATAAGTAATTCAAGGGGCTATTCTTTGAGACTATGTTCCTCACTGAGCTTTTACCCACTAGTTTTATTTTTTATTATTTAAAAAAATTTTTTGCCCACTAGTTTTAGCATCATTCCTCCTATATTTATTAGTTATCAGTTTACTGTAAAGAACTTTTCCTTCTCTACTCATTTATCAGTATGGACCCACAGATTCTTATTCTATGGTTTATAATCCATTACTATCACTCATTATTTTACTGCTCAAATTGTCCCAGATTTCTGGCCAAACATTTGCCTTGAAAACAATTTTACATGAACCATATAATCGCCAAGTAGGATTTTTAAAGAGGAAACAGGTCCAAATTGAAACAGTAGAATTTAGGTTACTGGAAGGTAGAAATAATTAGGTAAGAAAAATCACTTTGGGTAATATACAGTGACAAAAACACCCTATACACTGAAGAGTGTTTAAAAATTTTTAAATTTTTTAAAGCAAGAAAAATAGCACAGGCACTCAGCAGTGATCCAGAGCAGTTTCAGTCCAGAGGGTGAGGATGAGTGTATCCTTGTTAGAAGGAAGAAAGAGAAAAATGCTGCTTGAGCTACTGAGCTGTTTCTGCCCTACAGCTGGGGCGGGGGGGGGGGGGGAGGGAGCCCGTGGAAGTAATAGGAGGAGTGATGGCTGATCATAACATCAGAATGTCAGTGCTGGAAAGAATCTCAAAACCCGTTCAGTTTAGCTGTCCTTAACCTCTTTGAGGACACATCTTTGAGGATCTGGTGAAAGCTATGAACCATTTCTCTTCAGAATGCATATACAATATTTGGTACAAATGTGGAGGGTTCAGAAATTTGTCCATGGATCCTAGGTCTACTCAGTTACCTTCATTTTCCCATAAGCTTGCAATTTAAAGAAGAGTGTGATTTTCACACTGTTAAGACAAATAGAAGTATGATCTTCAGTTTCACTTTGAGGTCATCTCACAGATTTTGTCTTATTTACTCTGATGCTTTTCTAAAGGTTCAACAGTCAGCTCTCAGCCAGGAGTTTATGTCTTCAACAAAGAAGAACCATCTCAAAGTCTCCCTTTTGCCACCAAGTGAAAAAGAACTGCACTAGTTACTTCAAGCTGTTGACACGTTAAAGAACAGCCTTTAGTCACAGGCTTCTGGTGTCATCGCTTAGGCAGCTTTCAGACTATAACAGTGAGCCAGGTCAGGATTTCCGGAACTCTTTTTAGACGAGAAGTGGGTGGCTTCACGAAACTGCACCCAAGATTTAGATTGCAAAGGACTGAATTAATTGATGAGAGATGATTATAGTTTGAAATACTATTATTGATGTTCTATTTTCTGTATATAAGGAAGCATTTTCTTTCTTCATAAGATGTGTGTAACGCATGACAATTTAGTAGACTCTGCTTTGCAAGCTGAGATGAAACTTCAAAAAATGATATCTTATCCTTATTGGCCCTTCTCCTCCTCCCCTCCCACAGAAACTCTGATGAGTCCATACTTTTCATGGCAGTATAGTTATTTACATGGGTTTGTTAAGAATATACCCTCCTTTTAACCATTCTATAATTCGTAACATTGGTTTTGCAAGCAAGGCCTTGCCTTGTCATATTTGAAAATGATGCTTATTTAATTACCACTTTTGGTATGACCGACACGTTTAAGGAAATCGAACCAATGGTTTCACAGCCGTCCCAGGAAAACAGACCTGGCACCCAGCTTACAGAGTTCCCAGCCTTACAGGTGAGTAGGAAGGTCACTTCCTGGCAGGTCCCCAAATCTTAGATATTTGGAGGACTCATGAAGGAGGAGTTGACCTAAATGTAAAATTCAACCTGAGATTCCTTATGAAAACTTGCAAAAAATGTATGAAGTCTATGTGGTAAATTAACATTCTCACTGCACCTATGTACCTAAACAGGCCAAACCTAAAGAGCTCAGTCTTATCCCGTGAGCAAGAATAACCTTTCTTTGAGATTATTTTTTGATAAGAGTGGGTATATACATTTCCTATTGCTGCTGTAACAAATTATCACAAACTTGGTAGCTTAAAACGATATAAATGTATTATCCTACAGTCCAGGACCACTGAACACTCGATAAATGGTGACTATTATGAAGGGGGCAATGTTTTCCCTTTCTATGGGTGGAAATCAAATTGTGGTGACCACTTGAGTTGGGGGAAGGACCACCAACTTCCTGAAGGTGAGAGACCAAGATGACCTTGAGGGGCTAAATCTTTTGGCTATAACATCACCAGGGAAAATGTCTGGTTTTGAAAACGACAATGGGGTATTCAAACTAATAATCTGGGCTCCACCACAGAGAATTACAGAGAACAGAGGACCCAGAGCTACCTTCACGGGCGTCTTACTAGGAGGGGCCCCTCTTTTTATGGATTCCCTGGGTGGATGTTCTCTGTATTTAAATAAATGCAACAGTAGGGCCTTCACAGATATTGGCATTAATTCTATTTCTGACACTGGATGGAAGTTCAGGGGTTTCATTATGATTCTTTAACAGTAGGATACATTATATATACTTTTGTGCATATGGTGTTTTGCACTTTTTTTAAAGCTTGAGAAAGGAATACATGCAGCATGGCTCCCCCTGGCCTCTGCCCCTGGTTCACTGTAATCTCCTGGGCCTCAGTTTCCAGGTATGTAAAATGGGCTTCTCTGGGTTTTAACAGTGTACATAAGTCTATGAAAGTCTTTGCCAAACCAGAAAAGAACATTAAGAACTTAAGTCTGACAGCCTATCTGAATGCCTCCCCACTCAGCAGCAAGATGTATTTCTGTCTTGACATCTAAAAAGGAAGCTTAATTGCTGATAAGTGGCTGACAACTGGTAAATGCGTTTGGGGTGGGTTAGGAGAACTAAGTCTGCAATGGGCATCAGATGCCGCTCTAGACAGTTGGGCTTTCAGGGAGCGAAGCAGGGGGCCTACAGGCAGGGGAGAGAATGTCACCCTGTTCAGGGAACCCATGGGGCAGCCCCGTCCTCCACAGTCTTTCAGGGAGAAGTGACAGCAGAGACAACTTGTGCCACTTATAGGACCCTTGCTGTGCCCTGGTATTGCGCTAACTTCTTTGTGCTTTGTCTCATTGCACTGCTCCTGACAACCCAATGGTCATATCCAATGACAAATATCATTTATTAAGAACTTAACTGAGGGAGGGTTTAGCTCAGTGGTAGAGTGCTTGCTTAGCATGCACAAGGTCCTGGGTGCAATCCCCAGTGCCTCCATTTAAACAAATAAATAAATAAAGCTAATGACCTCCCCGTACCAAAAAAAAAAAAAAAAAGTTGTGCCAGGCTCAATAACTGTTTGATGTAAAATCTCATTTAGTCCCCATACCTCTATGAGATAGATACTATTATT